CCGGATTCTCTGTAAAGCTGCTTTGTGATTGATCTGTTGTGAAAGGCGCTATATAAATAAATTTGACTTGCCTTGACTTGACTTCTGGATGCGCTAAATAACTTCTATGCTCAGTTTGAAGCACAGAACTGCACAAAGGCGAGGAAGACAACACCTCCTCCGAATGAACAGGTACTGTGTCTGTCCGCTGCTGATGTGCGGAGAAATCTACACAGAGTCAACCCATGAAAAGCTCCTGGATCTGACAGCATACCTGGCATAGTGCTCAGAGAATGTCCTGAACAGCTGGCCGATGTTCTTACAGACGTATTCATGTCTCTCTTTACTGGACACACTGCAATTTGCAAATCGCCCCAGCCGCTGAAAAGACGATGCCATCTCCACCACACTCTACCTGGCTCTCACCCACCTGGACAATAAAGACACCTACGTCAGAATGCTGTTCATAGACTTCGGTTCAGCATTCAACACCATTGTCCCTCAACACCTGACTGGAAAACTGAGCCTGCTGGGCCTGAACACCTCCCTCTGTAACTGGGTCCTGGATTTCCTGACTGAGAGACCTCAGTTAATCAGGATCGATAACAACATCTCCAGCACCACCATACTGAGCACCGGTGCCCCCCAGGTTCATGTGCTTAGTCCACTCCTGTTCACTCTACTGACTCATGACTGTACTGCAAAGTACAGCTCAGACAACATCAAGTTGCTGATGAAATGACTGTGGTGGGTCTGATCAGCAAGAACAATGAGTCAACATACAGAGAGGAGGTGCAGCGGCTTACAGTCTGGTGCAGAACCAACAACCTGTCTCTGAGTGTGGACAAAACTAAGAAGATGGTTGTTGACTTCTGAAGAGTGCGAGGTGACCACGCCCCACTGACCATCACTGGCTCTGCTGTGGAAATCGTCAGGAGCCCCAAGTTCCTCAGTGTTCACATCACAGAGAACCTCACCTGGTCCCTCAACACCAACTCCATAGCCAGGAGAGCCCAGCAGCGCTTCTGCTTCCTGTGGAGACTGAAGAAAGCTCATCTCCCCCCTCCCATCCTTACCATGTTCTACATGGGGACTGTGAAGAGCATCTTGAGCAGCTGCATCACTGCCTGGTTTGAGAATTGTAATGCCTCCGACTGCAAGACCCTATAGCGAATAATGAGGACAGCTGAGAAGATCATTGGGGTCTCTCTCCCCTCCATCATGGACATTTACACCACCATGGTTCATCTGCAAAGCCACCAGCATTGTGGACGACCCCATCCATCCCTTGCACTGACTTTTTTCACTGCTGCCGTCTGGCAGAAGGTACTGGAGCATCCGTGCCATCACTGCCAGACTCTGCAACAGCTTTGTTCCGCAAGCAATCAGGTTTCTAAACTCAGAAGTACTGAACTGAAAACCCCCTTACACACAGACTTTACATTTACACACACACACCTCTTTTTGATGACCTACTTGCACTATCTGGAACATTGCTGCTAATACTGTATTCTACTAAAGGACTGTATATTTCTACCTCAGTAACTGCTGTGCTCGTGTATGTTATAATCTGACTGCGTATACCCACATATCGTGGCTTGCTAAATATCTCTGCACCTTATCCTCACTACCTCATGCTCAGAAATGAGTGCTGTGTAGGTGCTGCACTGTCCTGTCTGTTTACTGTCTGTTTTATTTGGCATATTTATTGTATTGTTTCTAGTGTAATGTTTGCACACTTACGTCTTCCCATTTGCACTTTGTCTTGACTTGACTAGAAATAAGCTCCAGCCACCAAACATGTCTTTGCAGGTACATAAATAGATTAATTTAGATGACTTAAAAACTGGATGTGATTTGTGGCAAGTGTGTAATGATTTAAGCCCTTTTCGGACAGAATTAGTTTTACATGAGCAGGTGGGGTAATGCAATTATTACCAGCATTATTACACTGATTATAGTCCTACACAAATACACCATGTCAGTAATTTTTCTGACTGCGCTCTCCCACGTCAGTAAAGATTCCGCTGCCTTTTATCTCCTTTAAAACAAGCCACAAAACCTCCCCGAAGTTGTGCAAATAGACATGTCGGTAAAAACACTGTCATATCCTGTGGAAAAGGAGTTAAGTATGGAGATGCTCAAAGAAACGTTTACTTGTGTTCTCTGACAAAGCTGAAATCAGCTTCTTATTTGCCAGCTTCTTGTTCAAACTTTCTCATTCCACCTTAAATGGTGCGGCAGTTATTGTATTGCCTGAAGCACCATAATGTAACTGTTGCACCATTTAAGGTGAAACAGAAAAAAATTGAGAAACTGGCGGAGAGCAAGCCAGCCTCAGCCTTGTTGTCTTGCCAAGCCCTGATTCTTAACTCTGCATAAAATTAATGTTATAAAAAAGCGCACATTGTGTGCCATGTGGTTGATGATTTCTTTTTCAGCTAACCTACTTTTTCAGTCAAATTTGGATGTGGAAGGTAAAATTAAACATCCTTTGTGGTTTGTCGTCTGGTCAAATGAAACATTTTGTTGTTCTAAGTGAAAATAAATTCGCACGTGCTTTACAGGGAACAAACATGAACATTTTTTTGGCAAATTTTAGTGCGCAATTTCTTCGACCCACATAATATATATATTATGTGTGTGTTTATATATTGTGTATGTGTGTGTGTGTGTGTGTATATATATATATATATATATATATATAATATATATATATATATATATATATATATATATCACACACACACAACTGAATGCTGTTCTTAATTATTGTTCTTAAAGTCAGAACACACATTTGTTGTGTAAAACCTTGTGTTAGCCTGCTTTGTTTACTGTGTGTAAATCAATAAGCTTGACCCCGGTTTGATAAGTAAATTTATTATCTTCTTGTCTGATGCAAACTTTCACTTGTCCTGTAAAGTGGGCATCCCGTAAAGTTGTTAAGCCCTGTTATTTTTACTTCTTGAAAACACACAGGTGTTAATTTACAAATGCTTGATCATCTCCTAAGCTTATCTCAAAGTACAACAGTGTTATCAGTCATGTGGCATGACAGTGTTGTCAGTTATGTACACAAATGCATGTAATAGTCTTGCCCACAAAGAAGCCTTTCATACACATTGCTGTAGATATTGTTGAGACTGTTTTAAACATTACTTAATTATTTATAAAACGAAAGACGGAAGACCTCTCATTGAGAGATTTTTCAACTAGTTTGGATTTTTAAAAGAACACTTAAAAATGTAAATGTAAAAGCAGCTTTAACCTCATTGTACTGCAGGGGAAGTACACTGGGCCTTTGTAACTTTAGCAGCACAATATACAGCAGCTGTTAAGCATATATGTTGCATGTAACAAAACAAATGTCTACATATGGATCCCATATGCAATGCTTTTTTTATTGATTATTCTAGTAAAAAAAATCCAAAAACCCATGCAAATGTTAATATCGGTCCTGCTCTTAACACACCCATTTTAAACACGTTTAGACATGTTTACTACCTAATGAGTGGAGTCAGTTGTGTTTGGTGAACGGAAAACACTAAACTTTGTCGTGCTCAGGTACTCCAAGTCCAGGATTTGGAAACGGTGTTGTAAATAATAAATAAACGAATCAGTAACGAAACTCAGATGATGACCCAATAACGTAGCATATTATTTCATTACTGCTACAGGCCTAATTAATACTAGCAAGCTAACGATAAGCAAAAAGACAAAGTTTGACACGTAATTAATAATAAATCTGCAGCAATAATTGCTGATTGTCATTTGACACAGCAAGGCGTTGTGAATAGGTTTTACATAGCACCAAAAAGGGTTCTGCTGTTGTTACAATATCAAACTTATAAAAACAGAAGAATCATTTCTGGTGCCAGGTAGAACCCTTTTCAAAAAGGTTCTATATAGAACCATATACAACACATTCTCCATCAATCTGAAAACCGTTTCGCCCTGCAGAGAACCCTTTAAGTTTGCGTATGGTTCTCTGAGTGTTCATGGTTCTATATAGAACCATTGTCTTTACTAAAAAAATCCGTGGAGAACCATCTTTAAGAGTGTAGGTGTCCATCCACGTATTTTTATATGCATAAAAGTTTGTATGCTTGCCTGACATAGCTATATTTTTGCTGATATAAAAGAAATATAATAAAGTACAATGGAAACACATTTGCCAAAGTTTGCAACAATATACAGTGTTTCCACTGTAGTAATGAAATATGATAGAAGGCAGTATGCAGGTACTGGCTGACTAATTAAAAAAGCTGGAAAGTAACTATATTAACAAAGAAAATGCAAAACAGTGGTGCAAACAGTAACAGCAACGGTGAACAGACGCAAGTTGCTTGCTGCTGACATTTCTTTAGTCATTACAGTGTATCCAATAGGTCTGAAATACATTTATATGAGTTTGTACACTCCTGGTCAAATGACATGTTTTGTGGATTTTCTGAGTGTAAATTATAATTGTGCTCTTATGTAATACATGCTTTTATCTTATCTTAGGATTCTTTCTACCTGAGTATTGAGTATTGATAAAGCAAGTATGTTTAGTCTAGTGCTTCAGTCTGTAACACTAGAAATAAATCTCACACGATTTTACATGGGAATATAATTTCTAAAATGCATGCATTGGATCACTGAAATGAATTTATGGACGTCACAAATATGGAAAGCAGTCAGAACGTAGGCAAATAATAATGTAAACGCAGTTCTTGTGAAATTTTGTGAAATGTGTTTATTATAAGCGGATGTGGCCAGTGTGGCGTTCATACTGAGCTTTTCTGTTATATTGACCCCCCCCATTACAGTAAAGCCCATCTAATGAAAGTGTTACACATTAACTCCTCCTTCTGCATTTGTAAGCAGTTGTAAAGAATAGTTTGTTTTGCTTGTGAACTATTTCACTGGTAGTTGTCATCCACATTCTGTAAGCCACAGGCACATAACCCTGAGTAGTAAAAATAAATAAGTCAATATAAGTTTAAAAGCTGTTGTTTTAAATATCTGTTTCTGCTGGGTTTTCTCCACGCTGGCTCCAAACCGAGCCTGTAAGAAGTAAAACGTTTTCAGTGGCAGCATTTCTACAATATATGACAAACACAGTTAAACAGAGCATGAGTTCAACAGTGCAATAAATATCGGGCCTCATTCACCAGTCGTTCTTAAGAAGAAATTTCTTCTTAAAACCTACACACAAAGTTTTTACATTCTAACATTCGTCAGTGCTTTTTTATCTGGGATTTGTTCTTGGGTAAGAACAAAATATACACACACTCAAGAGCACAAAGGTGTGAACAATTCTGCGCTTTAAGAACACGTCATGAACCTGACAAACTTTTCGTAGGATTTTCTCAAGAACAAATTAAGAAAAAACTTGAAGATGTTGGTGAATGAGGCCCATAGTTCTTTAAAACAGTGGTTCTTATACACTTTTTTTAAATGAATACAGTAATGTCATATTTCTGTATGTTATATCCAGTGCCAACATTTTACATTTCAATGTGGCATGTATTTTGTTGATGCCCTTTTCTTAAACTTTATAATGTCTTTGGTTTCACATTCAACCCACTGTGGAAGCACCACTGATGTTGACTTCTGTTGCAAGCTGCCATGATGACTTAATGGGAACCATTGCTTGTTGAAGGACTTTGTGCCTATGCCACTGTTCCAGGCAGTCCAGAGCCTCAGGAAAGCTATTGCTCTCAAACTTATTAGCAAAAATGCTGTTCTTCTTGATTATCCAGGGTAAGTCCTCAATAGCGTAGATGCAGATGTTCCTAACGTAGCGTCCTGTCGGGGCAAACATGATGTTCTTGATTAGATTAGTACCACAGATGCGTTTCTCATCTTGTGTTGTGTAAACTCTTTAGAGATACCTCTCACAGATACAAGGTTAACACAAGATTTAACAGCTTCAGACCAGATTTTACCCAGTGTTGATAAAATTATTGTAGGTGTCATACCGTTACAGCCCTGGTGTGCTGTTCCTTCTTGGTCCCTCCATTTAATGGCTCGAATATTCCCTTCCCAACCACCATGTATGTTACTGCCTGGAGCATCTGTGGAGGTTTAAACATTTTTATTACAATAGCAGTTCAATATGTATAATTTTTATGTTTTTCCTAAAACACGATTGCCTTTACGTGTCTGTCTGTAACATCCTGTCTTGCCCTGTCCTTGTCTTTCTCAGTTTCGGCCTTTTTCTTGTTTCTTGCGCTTTTGTTGTTCTGGTCTGTGTCTCCTCCCCAATCCTTTCATCTCATCTGTCTCACCTGTTTGTAGTCTGTAGCCTCGCCCTCTCATTTTCCCAGGTGGTTGTTGTTTGTTCCATGTTTATTTATATCCCTGGTTGAGTGCTTTGTGTTTGCTTGGTGTTTTGTTCTCACAGGCGCTGTTTTGGTTATTTTTCATTTGTTACTTTATGTGCCTTTGTCTTTTGTTTTCTTTCTGTCAAAGCATTTTGCTATTAGTGTTCCTTATTTGTTTAGTCACTTTTAGCAGTTTCATTTCCTTCAGCGTTTTCAGTAAATGAATGGATGCACACATGCGTCCTGCCTTTTTGTGTCTCCCAGTGTTACACTGTCCATTTCGTGAGCTGTGGTTGTTTGTGCAAATATTGGCCATTTAGAGCTCCCCTGTTTATTTGAATATACCCGCGTATCATTTTTCAAATGAGTCTGCACTTACCTCTCGTGTGGCCAAGGGTTTGTTATTATTATATTATTTTATTATTTCAATATTTCATTTTAAAAGTGTAAACATTTGTTTTTGCATTTTTTTTCCAGTTATTACTTAATGATGAGACAGTCATTTTACATGTAAATTTCCCAACATATCCCAGTGTATTTTACCAGCTGTGGTGGTATTTGCTTATTTTGGGCACTAGTACATTGATTATTTGTTTGATTATTTGTGTATGCCCATGTATAATTTTTCATAGAAGTCTGTACTTACCTTTCACATGGTTAAGGGTTACCCAGTAATGCTCATCAGGGCTGTATGTGTCCTTAGACCATTCTAATAGGTCCTTGGCCACTGAACTGTTGAGAGCATACTCCACGAATGCTCTCGTCAGTGCGTAGTAGGCTGTGCCAAAGTAGATTTGCAGGTTATGTGGTGGAGGCTTCTTTGCGATACCCTTAGGCACCACATAGACACCTCTGATCTCCACATGCTGCCTTTGAGTCCTGTATCGCATAGAGGTTGGCTGTTTGATCCCTGGAGTCATATTTCTGTCTCTCCATTCTGCTCCTTGCATGTATCGAACGAGTTCCAAGTTGCTCATGGTGGGGAAATCTTGGCCGCAGAGGTTTATGACCTTTCTCCATTTGACTGGGGACCTTACCAGATCCTCCATACAGTTGATGTCAGCCTGTAGCCGAGAAAAGCCAGCGTAGGTCACCCTCTCACTAGCTGAGGCCAGAAAGATGTTGGGGAAACACCCAGCCAAACTTTTGACGCTTGCTTTGTAAACTAGTGGAGCATTGAGGTCTATGTGAATGCAGTACACATTCTGAGGTGCGTAGATGGCTCTCAGCAGACGCACAAACACTTCAAATTCTTTGTGGATGGTGATGATGAAGGCCAGAGGGTAGTCTTCTTCTTCTCTGCTTAGGGGCTCCATAATGAAGTGAAGTTCAGTTTTTATCCAGGCGCAGTTGGGAGCACTCTTGAAGTTGCTGACCTCCCGACAAGCCGTTCTTTGCCATCTTGTTGTGGAAGATGAACTGGGTAGCAGAACTTGGCAGTCATCAGGGAACGGGTGGCAGCTGAGGCTGTGGTTCTGCGCCCTGGGAATATCTGAGCTCTTGGCCTTGATATAGATGACAGAGCAAATAAAGATGCAGATTCCGAGGCAAAAGAGAAAACTGTACTTGGCATTCTCGAGCTGGAGCATAATAGTCCAGCATCAAACTGACCAGATGATGATGTACCACCTGAAATACACAAGTCGGGGGTGGAAAAATCAATGAGCTTACTGATGGGCATGAATTCTTGAGGCTAAATGTAATCTATGAAAAATCTAAAAATTCTACCGCTGTCATTCAGCATTGTCTTTTGTTTGTTTGGCTTCATCTTATCTCACATCTGCTATGCTCTTTTTGTTTGTTTAGTTTCATATTTGTTTTTGTCTGCCTGTCAGCTCTGCCTATGGAAATTTTTTGTGTAATAATTCCATTCACATTTAAATATGAATGCTCATGCTCTTGCTTTTTGCAGAATGAGGGCACTTGTTTGCTTAATAGTGTCCAGCACATTGACAGGTTCCTCAGAAAGATGAGAGAGGTCTTATGGAATTTTCTCAGAGAATTTTACTGAATCATATCCTGATTGCTGAAGGATGTGAAAGAGGTTTGGTCACCACATTTTCAACAGAAATGTCTGGTAATGACCCCCATACTTGGGTTATCAATTGCGTGACAAAGTTAAAGTGTATGTGGGTGTTCATGAGTCAAATCTCAGACTTCATGAGGATTCATTTTAGAAAAATCTTATCTTTAGTGCAGATGATACTCCTTAATAGGGATGTTCATTTGTTTATTTTTGACTTTCCTCCAAACCAGAACTGTTTAATAGACCTTAACAGGAACTGCCAATGTTTTTCAAAATGTCTGCATAATTCAGTGGTTGCGATGTACACGGTCACTCAGAGTGGTTTGTAATGGTTCACTGTGAAATCGTTCATTGTAGAGAAACTTACCAGCTCTTTACAGAGGTTAAGATGGAAACCAAAGGTTGCGATGTCTGGTACGCACATATAGCCATTTTATTTACTATCCAAAACATCCAGTTTTTATAAACAATGTTGTTAATCGTAAAATAGTGCTAAATCAGAGTTTTCTTTGGGCACAATTTTGCCTTATAACACCCTGCATGTATCTTTCCACCATTAATGTATGATAAAAATACGTTTTAAGCCAAACCCTAGGGCTGTCATGATCATTAAATTTAGCTGACGTTTACTTTAAATAATTGCAATTAACAATGTCTTTTCTTCATTGTTGGAACTAAAAATTGGCCAAATTGGCTGATTAGCCACCTTATTTGCTAGTTGTGTACTTAGTATTTAGTACCGGTTGTACTGTCAATGAGTAATACAGCTGTGCGCACACTCAGTTAGACAAAATCGTGTAGAGTCGAGCAAACCTACATGTCCTTCAGGAGAGTAAAATATAAAGGCAAAAAAACACTTTTGCCTGTATACATGCTAAAAACATTAAATTGGCTACATAGCTAACAGATAAACAAAAATTCCTCAGTACTGCCCTCTTAAATTGAAGGCATCTTAAATAGTTGTGATCATCTCAAATAATTGCGTTTCGGCGATTATGTAATAACTGCGATGGGCCTGCCAAAACCTGATGTCAGAGCTAAGACAGAACAGTGTCTCAGGCAATGTATTTATGATTTTATGTAATAACATTTTATGAAAGAGCTTTAAGAGAGATTAAGCATTTTGATCTGGTTTCTGTCACCACCACCGTGAACAATTCTGGCTTGGGAAGTTCATCTAGAACTGCCCATTTCTCTTCAAACCACTTGGAATAACTTTGTTAACCATTTAATTTGACAGAAATGGTGAAAAATCTACGGAATTCTCCTTTTTGAACACATGGTGGCGTTAAATGTGATGTGAAATTGTGTCACTAAGACTTCTCCCTTGCTCTGGGGTTGCGATTTACAGAATCATGTATTTCTTATCTGCTAATTTAACTGCAATTAGACACTAACATATTTTAATATCTAATCTTACAGCTGAACATATTTTTCATTTTGATAGCAGATTTCCTAAATCTTTACAGCAAAGATCTTAATGTTTTAAGCCATAGTTGTCTACCAAACCTCCGCTCATATGAACTAGTTCTTTTAAATCATGCTAATTACCTCACACAGTGACCAGAGAGTGCTCGTACCTTTCAGCTCCTGCAGAGTCCGGTTCTGTTATCATCAGAAGAAGTTAAACATTAAAGAATGCCGCCGCTCTGGAGAGTCTGTTCCAGCATGACCTCAGCCAAACACACACTGCCTGAGGGAGAGCAGAGTCATGACTGCCATTCAGTTCGAAGATCTGTGCCTTAAGACCCGCTTTCTGTTTGTGTCGCTTGTTGCTGCCGCGGTGGAATCAGTGTGCTGTTCTCTGTTCGTCGCGGGTTTGGCTGCTCAGATACATTCCCCCTGAGATAGGATGAGGGAAAGCGTGAGAGCGCGAGAGAGACTCATAGCAACCACTCATGCTTCACGTCCTCTAAGTCTCCTCCCTTTCCTCATTATTTCCCACCACGCTCATTCTGTACCACTCCGCCTCTCTTGCTTTCTTTTTGTTTCTCCATTGATCATAAAGGTCCTTTTTTTCCATGGCTTTCTCTCTTTCTTAACCTTGATTCTTGGTTCGATTCTATCAGTCTCTCTTGTTCAGTCTTGCTCTTCGTACTCTTACTTCCTTCTTTTTCTTCTTTGCTCTATCTGGTTTTCCTTTTTTTCCAAAACAAAAGCCTCCAATCCGTTGGAGTGGTGTCTAAATACAGGAGGTTCAACATAGTTTGCTGCTACTCTGAGCCTTGGCGGCAGCATGTTTATGTGCTGTGCCTGGTCAGCTCTGGAGATTAGCCCCCTTGTGTCAACCACCACTGTGGATAGAAGTCACATTGAGCTCACTGTGGGAGACAATAGTTCCCCTGGTAGTGAATGCCTTTGTCTTTGTGTGAGCGCACAGTACGCTTTCATTTCGCTAGCTTTCATCAGCGGATTCATCAGTTGATTTTCATCATAAATTAAGTAATCACTTCCTGTTTACTTAATTTAGCTTGAGAAAATGATTGGCTCATATTGTGCAAAATCCTCTTTACGGAAGAAGCCCTCCCTTTCCTTTTCCACTTTCATGTTGGGGGAGGGGGGGGGTGCATTGTGTAGGAATCAACCGTTGCTAGTGTTCACTGTTTCAGTTTCTTTCTTTCAGCTGTTAAGTCTGTTTCTCTCACCAGTTAGTTAGATGCAGAATCAAGGTTCCCAGTTTGAAGTTTAAAGGGGAATTCCACCAATTTTTCAAAATTTATTGACTTGATGTGAAATGGTAAATAGTGGTAAATCTTAAATGTTTTTCTTTGGATACTTTGCCTTACAATATTCAGCAAGCACCACTCTGCCATGAATAAATAAATTTTAAAAATGTGTTAGGCCAAAAACTTATCGCAAAACTGTCACCAAATGGTGCCAGTTACAATTTCTTTTTCCATCTGTTGTGCCACTATATCAGAACAGGAAATACACAAGAAAACTACACAAACGAGTGGCTATCTGCTAACACTGGGGTGTTTGGATGTCTTTAGCTATGCTAAGTTAACTAGGAGAAAGAAGCCAGCTAGCATTAGCTTAGCTAGGAGGCTCCAGCTCCTGACACCAGTGAACAGGTTTATTTTCTGCTTTTCTGTCCTTCTGACATCACCTGCTCAACTTCGCTTCCTCATAGGTGAGTCATTATCTAAATTTGTGTCAGTAAAGCTTTTGTTAGTCAGAATCGAACATGTTCTGTAGTGAGCAGAGCTGACTGCATACTAGCTAAACTAACACTAACCAGTTACACTGGTTTTCAGTGCTGTTTAATATTTAGAAATTGGTGTTGGATTAAAGCTTTGACGTTTGTTGAATAGTGGGTTTCAAATTGTGCACTGCTTTCATTTATTTGCCATCTGTGTGAGTGAACTGAACTTGTTTGTTTGTTTGTTTGTTTGTTTGTTTTCAAGTTTGAAATAACGCAGCAGGATGGCACAATGGCATCAAATTAATCAGCGAATAGCTACATGGTTACATCATCCTACCAAACAGTTCTGTGGCCCTGAGTGCAGTTAGCTAACCATGCCGGTAATGTAGCTTTTAGAGGCGTTAAATGCTTTGGGCGTCCGGTTCTCATCACCTCTACTGTTCTGACTTGATAGGTTTTTCTAGAATGGAGCAATGACATTGTGTGTGGACATCTTTACCACTCAATTATGTTCCCCTTTAATAACGTCTCCTTCCTTTAACATGTGAAATGAATAATAGCATGCCATTGTATCTAACGTTATTTAACATTACTTAGACTTTTGACTACAGCATAAAGTCAGTAGGCTGGCTGGATAAAAGACTAGTCAACATTGTAAGCAAATGTGTTTGATAACACATGGCAAACAGTGAAATTGATTTTTTGGGTGATTTCACGAAGTATAAAGTTCAGATTTTTTTTTGTTTGTCAAATGTAACCTTAAAAAACACATCTTGCAATTACCTGTTTTGTTGATAGAGGTATTATTGTCTTTTTTAAATGTAGGATTATAGGCAAGAGATGTTGATTTGTAAGCATAGTAAAGCACCATCAGCTGCTTGCATATGCAACTAATCAGAAGTTTTTGTTGTGTCCTGGAGCAGAAACAGATTTCTCACCAGTGGAGTTTATATATGCATTTATGTATGTAAAATGCATAGTTTTTTTGTTTTCTTTTTTTAGTTTTAATTTTAAAAGATATGTATATATTTTTTATTTATTGGTTAAAACCTTAAAAAAACACTTTTAAATAAACTTCTGTTCCAATTTTTAAGGTGTTTAGTCTCCTTAGTCTAAAGTTTGAACTAAAGTGGTTTTTCCGTTAAGATTTCTCTTCTCTGGTTCTGATCTCTGTAGTGTGGAGATCCATTCCGTGCTGAAGACATTGTGGTGCTGAACGGAAGCAAAGAGGAACAGGGGCAGTTACAGAAGACAATGGAAGAGAGGAGGGCCAAAGCTAAAGCAGGAAAGGTGAGGCTGCCCCAGTTGTTCACATGCTGCCTAACATCCTACCATTTTATCTGAAGTTGTGGTTTCTCTTAGCCATATTTCTAAGAACACAGGAAGGCAGGTTTCATTTTTACTGCGTTTCACCACTGTTGCAATGTGCACTGCTGCAGTTGGAGTCAGGTGCAGCTTCTGCCAGAGTTTTCTTGATGAGCTGTTACGCTACACGTGCCATTCAGCTTGTTTATGCCACTGTAGTATTTTGCCTATGTGATGCTTCCTGTTTACCCATTTGCTGTTTTATGCTTTATAATGTAATATATATGTTCTTTATAATGTAGTATAACTTTATAATTCAAATCACACAAAATCAAATGTTATTTGAAAAGAAAAAAAAAAAACAGGAAACCTTATCTCAGCTGAACAGCATCTGTTTTCTTCTAGTTCCATTAAATGAAAGAAACAGTCAGTGTGAACATACCACACTAGCTGTAAGCTAATGTGTTAGCCCCAGATTATACATTATATAAAACACCCATAATTGTGCTCTTTTCTTTTCTCAGAAGTCCAAGAAAAACAAGGGTGTTGAGACTGTTTCCAAACCTGTGGAGTCAAAAGGTACAGTGAACAGTGGTGTTTCATCTAAAATATTTATTTTTCCATTGTTTGGTTAGCTATTATCAGATATTGCACAACATGCTCACTTTTCACTGCTCCACTACCATACAAATCTCTTTTTGGGACTTGTTGCATGGTTTGGTTGAAAGAGTCTGGTTGAAACTGTGTTAGTTTCTAGTTAGCATGAAATTAATCTTGTGACTGAGGGTAGTGTGTCTGGGGGAGAGGTTTATTTTTCCTCCTCTGTCATGGGATTTTATGAATGCTTAAGCATTAACTCTGGGGTTTTACACATCTGTTATCAGTGTAACCTGTAAAAATCACTGCTTTTACATTATTATAAAAATAATTTAGTCCACATTTTATCTTATTTGTTTCAATTTGTTTCTTTTTCCATGATGTGATTTCCGTAAAGCGTCTTCTGAGTCTGCATCCGCACCAGTGAACGGGGAGAGTAGCAGCGGCAGCAGCAGTGACTCAGGTACAGATTTCTTATTTCATGTGCACTGAAAAAATGGTAGGTAAGAAATGACCCAATTTGCACCATTTCTATAACCCAGCATTGGGTCACTATATAACAGAAGACATGACAAGTTAATCTTTGACATTTACAATTACATTTATTAATTTCGCAGACACTTTTGCCTAAAGCGACTTACAATTGAGGCAGACAAATTATTTTTTTTCTTTCTTTTTTTTTCAAATATATGCCCTTGATTTATATTTTTAACAAATTATTTTAGTATCAATAAAATATATTTAACCACACATTATACTTAGAACTCATAATTATCAGTAATAAAGATGTACAAATGATTGAATAATATTTTGTAGGATAAATTCTGTGAACATATGTTCACAGAATTTATCCTACAAAAAGAAAAAGCAGCTGTTAATGGGCTGTCTTTATCTGGTCTATGTCTGGTATTCTCTTGACTCACAGGCTCTTCTGATAATATTCAGAGACAAGGTTTAACTTCAACTCCAAATATTTACTTTAGGACTGTAGAACCCCAACGTACAAACATCACCAGTGTGTCTGTTAGAAGCTTCAAACATCTGTGTTTAAGCCCAAGCTTAAATACTAATGCTAGCTCGGTGCTAACATAATATGGAATCTCTTTGGTATGCTATCAAGAATTAACATAGCATTGTGCCACCGAATAAATAAAGGTTACTTTATTAAACAGAGACTTTAGTTTTCCATGGTATGGAAGCTTTAAGAGAAGAACAAAAAGAGAAGTTGGTGAAAGAAGCTAGGTTAGCTGTGTAGCTCATTTGTTAGCCACAATACATTTACTACAGCTAGCATTAAGATCTGTTTGAAGAATGACCTAACATGGTTTTTTTGCTTCACAAAAAAAGTTTCGTCTTCTCTTAACAGTAATCTTACCTTAATAGTACATAATAAAACTTTAAAATATTTTAAGGAATATTACTTACATTTTAACAGCCACAACTCTGTGCCCCTACCTGACAGAAAAACCTTTTAAGTGCTGTTAACGTAACTTTTTAACATGCTATTATCGCAGTAAAAGGGGGAAAATGTGCCTGTTTACTGGATGACCTGAAACTAACCCACTAACCCAAGTGCACAAAAACTACCAAGCTCTTAAATGACCTACTATACTCAACATAAAGTTTGTAGACAGGAAAACCTCAGCGGTTTTTGGTGTAGAGAGACGCATTCTCAAGCGTCTTAGGCCACTCAGAAGAACATAAGACTCCTTAGGAGATTAGAAAAGAGAAACTTCTATTATCTCGCAAGGGAACATTTGCATATTTACCACAGCAGAAAGAAGATAACGTATATGTTTGAGTGTGTGTGTGTGTGTGTGTGTGTGTGTGTGTGTGTGTGTGTGTGTGTGTGTGTGTATAAATATATGGTGATCTTTTTAGGGCAGTGATGACTAGAGTCTGACCACAGCAGGGAGGAAGGACATGTACATGCCTCTCCTTTTCACACCACAAGTAGAGAAGCTTATCGCTAAAGGAGATGACTAAGACCACCACGTTCTTCTGTAGCGGAGGGAATAAGGTCTCCATTAAGAATGACAGCTTGACCATCACTCTGATCTCCCCAATTCCCTCCACTGACTCCAGGTGCATCCCACTACGCAGGGCTTGGCTTTCTGTTGAGTTTGTCCAGCCTCCCTTTGTCTGCTGTTGTGATGCTGCTTCCCCAGCAGACCACTCCATAAAACATAACTGATGCCACTGTAGAGTCATAGGTTGACTTCAGAAGTGCACCCTGTTATTTAAAAAGACCTGAGGCACCTCAGCAGATAGTCTGCTCTGATTTTTTATTTTTATTTTTTTTTTGTACAGTGCATTAGTTGTCTGTCCAGTTTATTGTTTAAGTAAACACCCAGTTACTTATATGGTTTTATGATCTTAATGTTGTTAGAGAGAGTTTAGTCCTTTTGAAGTCCACCACCACCTTGGTTTTAATCATATTTATCTGAAGGCAGTTCCGTTGACACCAGTTCACAAAGTCCTGAGGAAGTTTTCTGTATTTGCTATCGTCTCCATCTGAGATGTAGCTGACAATAGCAGAGTCATCAGAGAACAGTGACAGTTTCTTGTGTTGTCTGAAGTCTGTATTGTCGAGGCTAAAGAGGAATGGAGCCAGTACTGTTTCCTGTGGGGCCCCTGAGCTGCAGACAGTTGTATTAGACACACAGTTCTGTAACCGTACATACTGTGGTCTATTGGTAAGGTAGTCCAGAGTCCATTTGGTGAGGTTATGGTGCATCCCTGCATGCTCCATCTTACTCCTCAGGAATGTGGACCGAATAGGTGTGCAGTCTTTGGTATCAGTATTACACAGGATGTCTTCCAGAGGAGCAGCATCTTCTCCTGCTTCAGGGTTAGATTGAAGATGTCCTAGACTTTTCCACACAGCTGGTCTGCAGTAGACCTGAGGAGCCCAGAGTTGAAGCCGTACAGACACGCAGTCTTCCTCATCTACATCTTATTCACTTCTTTCTTCACCTAGTGAAGGACAGAGAGGAGGAGGGGGGCTGAATGCTGGGTGTTGAGAGCAGGGGGGTGAAGCACTGCACAGGAAATGTACTGGGTGAGGAATACAGTAAGGGCTAGGTGTTGTAGACCAAGGCATAAGCACTGGAGATGCAGTTGAAGAGGGGAAGCAGCTATGTGAGCTGGACTGGGGAGGGACAGACAGATCAAATATATTGGGAAAAAAGGCATATAGGTCATTTGCCTAGTTTAGGTCTCCCACAGGCTGTCTTTTGGATTCTTTATGTCCCAAGATGGTTTAGGGACCCCTCTAGACTCCATTTACATTGTTGTGCTGCAGCTGATCCTCCATCCTCTTCCTGTAGCATGTTTTGCCCTCCCTCATAAATAAAATAGAACAACTACAAATTAACATTAATGCATTAATTACAATTTTATGTGTAAGTTTGTTTTTTCCAAAGCACTCGTAGAGGAAATCCAGTATTTGCAGTTACCATCTGCCGATACAGAATTAGCTGGTTAACCACAATAGGTGGTTAATCTCTGTGGTAACGGTCGTCAATACATTGTGTGTTTGGAATGTGAAGCTAGCCAAGCAACTCCACAGTTAGTAATGAAATTAATGAGTGGTGTTTCGCTTAGCATGTTGATTAATGCGATTTGAATATAATGTAGTGTAATGACTGATACTCAGCTCATGATTGATACTCTACTGATGTCAGCCATTCATTGTGAGCTAGCTAGGTATTTAAGATTATACATATCTGATGTAATTGTAAGGAAATGTTGTAAGTAAATGTAAGTAATTGGACCCTGGGTGTTTTTGATGGTCTAGCTTTCATCATGAAATAAACAAAAGCAGCTGTTAACAGACTGTCTTTTAACTGGTCTTATATTCTTCTATTCTCTGGACTGTATTCTGCCCTCATTAGAGTAGGCCTACCAGGTCACATGCTGACAGGCTCCTCTCATAGTATTCAGAGACAGAGTTTAACTTTAAATTCAAATATTTCGTATTTTGGTCGCAGTAGTGGTCGTTTTGAAAGGCTTTCGATGTTTTGCTGTCCAAAAAGCCTGTTTGGATTTCTGTGTTTTATGTCTCTAGTTAATGGTAGTTACTATACAGCTGCCATTAACTTTGTTCTTATGTGGTGCTGTTAGTATAATGTCTTCAAAATGTCTGTACCTCTAGTTTAGGGCTTAATTCGCTGATGTTCATAAACATTCAGTGAGCTAGATTAAGTGTTCTTAATAAATTGTCCTGGTTTTTTAAAGAAATCATATCAGTATTTGAGAAAAATGAATAGGTTTAAGGGCTGAGGTTTAACTTGCAGTTAAACTGTTTTGTGTGGGTAAATTCCTGGTGTGTCATCAAAGCATTAATGGTTATTAAGGGGGTGTATGGCTGTTAATTGTCATTTTATCTATGTTTTTACTAAAAACTCAAATAAAAATTAAAAAGCATCAATGATTATTAAGTTCTGTAATGAAAATGCCTAAGCTTCCTAGAACCCTAATTAATAGAGCATTAATTAAGTGTTTTGTGTGTTTGGAGTGTTTTGTTCTTTTAAAAAGGTCAGAGATCAATGATGTAAAGTTAAGCTTCTAAGAAAAAACAGTCAAGATTTCAGTTATTATTTTGATTCAGGAAGCTCTCAAAGCATTTATTGGTTAATTCTAAAAAATCTGTGAATGGAAACGTTTCACTTAGGCAAGGCAAGCTTATTTTTAGAGCACCTTTCATACACTGCTGTCATTCAAAGTGCTTTACAAATAAGAAATACAGTCGTTTAAAGACGTAAAGAACAGAAATGATTAAAAAAACAAATGAAACATGATTAAAACGTGATTAAAACAGTAGATTTAAACGAGAAAATCAGTAAATTTAAAAATCTAATTAAATGTTTAGTTCGGATTAAAATGTAAAGGTGTATTGCAATGTGAAAGTGTGGCATAAACAAGCATTTTAGGATGCATTTTTGGAAAACCTTCCCACTGTAAAACCTGTCCATTTTCACCGCTGATGATACACTGAACAAGCACAGCATAAATTTGTCTGTTGGAAGCCATTATAATGGCACTGACTGTTAAGTTCATTTATAGCTAATTACAGAAAGCTTCCTTTGCTGTTGGCCTTTCAGCGTTGTGCAGCCCCTGTATATATGGCCTCGTGGGAGTGAAGTAAAGCACTGACGCAGAAGGTGGCTAGGGTTGCAGGCTGATGTGTTGGCTTTGCGCTTGAGGGCTTCTCTTTTGGGATCATATAGGTTGGGAGTGGGGACGTTTGGGATCGTTTTGACGGTTGTGTGAATGTTCTGTGTTGTGTGAGTTTGTTTTTAAGGGAGCACTTGGAGATTACTGCTGACATCATCTTTATTATAAATATAACTGACACAGAACGTGCTGAAGGCAGTTGAAAAATGTTGTGCTAATTGTTAATGATTGCATTCCTCTTAAAATGATCAAAATTTTAACTTTTGCTTATGTTTGTGTAACCAA